AGTGGGAATTCCAAATAGGACCTTGTGAAGGAATCCACATGGGAGATCATCTCTGGGTGGCCCGTTTCATCTTGCATCGCGTTTGTGAAGACTTTGGAGTGATAGCTACCTTTGATCCCAAGCCCATTCCTGGAAACTGGAATGGTGCCGGCTGCCACACCAACTTTAGTACCAAGGCCATGAGGGAGGAGAATGGTCTGAAGTGAGTGTCTGCTGTGGGGGTCATGTTTATTCTCAAGTGAAAAAGGCTTGGGAAGGGAATATCAATCTCTTTACGTCTCTTTTTGTTTTGCCAAGTATTTGTATAGGGGACAGGTGAGCTGAACTTCAGGCTACAAATGCCTTAGCTCTTGACAATTGGCTTATTTTTTTCTAATTCTGTCGTTTTGTTCTCATTTAGAAAGTACCAAATAATACTCAAGGAATAGAATTAAAGATGGTGATAGGGAAAGTTTAAAAATATTTAATAAGAACTAATTTAGTAACAGTACAGGCACATAGATTGGTGCTTATGGGTGGGAGAAAGTCTTTCAGCACATAATGCCTTGGTGCTACATGTCAGGCATTCTGAGCACTGGGGTACATAGTAACAAGGCGGTCACTGGTGTGAGTCATGGAGTATTGGTTGTGCTGGTGAACGTCAGTCCTGGATGTCTACCTGTTCTTGTCCTTGAAGGGAGGATTTTTTTGGTGATAAGGTTAACCCTCATCTTGTGGTTTGTTTTTGATTTTTATTTTTTTAGGTACATTGAGGAGGCCATTGAGAAACTAAGCAAGCGGCACCAGTACCACATTCGTGCCTATGATCCCAAGGGGGGCCTGGACAATGCCCGGCGCCTAACTGGATTCCACGAAACCTCCAACATCAACGACTTTTCTGCTGGCGTGGCCAACCGTAGTGCCAGCATCCGCATTCCCCGGACTGTCGGCCAGGAGAGGAGGGGTTACTTTGAAGACCGTCGCCCCTCTGCCAACTGTGACCCCTATTCAGTGACAGAAGCCCTCATCCGCACGTGTCTTCTCAATGAAACCGGAGATGAACCCTTCCAATACAAAAACTAAATGGACTAGACCTCAGCCGTCAAGCCCCTCCTAGTTCTGCCTCCCACTCCAACTCTTCACCCTCTGTGTTGTCCCGCTTGTCCCGATTGTAACTCAAAGGGTGGAATATCAAGGTCTTTTTTTATTCCTCATGCCCAGTTAATCTTCCTTCCTTTGGCCAGGATAGAGGTGTTACGTTTTTAATCTCTTCACCCCCAGCCCCCTTTTCTTGACAGTGAGGCTTTTTTTTAATGCGCTAATGGGAAGGGGTGCCTATCAGGCATGGCTGTGGGATGCAGCATGTTCTGGGGGAGCAGGGAGGTACATTTTCTTCAAGGTTGCTGAAAGAGGAGGCCTGGTGAGGTTAGGTTAGAATTCCCCTTTGTGTGGAAAGCTCTATTTCTTAAGCTATAACTATAGAGAAGGTGGGGTGGCCCTCAGCGAGGGAAATGCCCTGGTCTCCTACTGCAGCACTTCCCTTGCTTGGGGCTGCATTCCCTTCCGTGGACACAAAGCTGGGTAAACTGATAGAAAGCCCTGTCTTAAAGAAAAAGATCTTAGTGCTTGGTCCTTCATTTATAACACAAAGCAGAGTAGTATTTTTATATTTAAATATAAAAACAAAAAAATTATGGGTGTGTGGGTATGTGTTTTTCTAAGGGAGGAAACCATCCTGGTCACTGGGTGCTAAATTTGAAGCAAATACTTTGGTTTAGAAATTAAAGAGATCCTTTGGAGCAGGGGTGGGGAGTGTGGTACTGGGAAAGTTGGTTACTAGGGGCGCTTAGTCTTCATTATCACTTAAGGGTTGCCCTGCCCTGTTCACCCTTCTTAAGGAGGTGGACCCTGGACGGCTGCCAGGTGAATGACATTACTGGTGGTCACCTGAGCCCAGTGGCGAGGTTTAAGACCCACATAATTGTCCATGGGTTTCTGGGAGCGAGTTGGCTGGCCCACATGAGAGCGTTCCTGCAGAAAGCATTGGGTTATTTTTTGGTGAAACTAGCATGTCACTAAAGCAGGCCTTTTGATACATTAAATTTTTTAAAAGCAAAACAGAAGTTTAGATTTTAATCAAATTTGTAGGATTTCTAAGTCTAATTTTTCAAAATTGTCTGCTTCAACCATCTCTTTCCACTCTCCTCTTGGAGGAGTTGGGGACAGGGCTGGAGTGAAAATACTTGTAATGTTGTATCCTAGTGTCTTTCCTCCCAGTGCAGAATATTCCTTTCTTAAGATTCCTAAGGAGTTATTCCTTTTTTCTTTTATAATAAACAAGCCCCCTCTCCATTTCCCCTACTGTTCCCTGGTTTTTGTGCTGGCCACAGCAGGCCAGCTGTGGTTTTCTCTTGCCATGACAACTTCTAATTGCCGTGTACAGTATGTTAGAATTAGATAACTTCTTGTTGTAAACAAACTGTAACTGTCCAGAGCAGCGCTTATAAATCAACCTAACATAAGATCTCTTCTGACTTGTTTCTTTGTGGTTGTTTAAAAAAAAAAAATTATGTGCCAAAAAAAAAAAAGAAAGTTTTTAAATATACATCAAATTTGAAATATTTTCACAGTGAATAACCATATAATCACCACCTGAATTCTGTCAGTAACATTTTATTATACTTGTTTATCACATTTTTCACATATCTATCCATGTATTCATCATCCCATCTATTCACCAATCTATGTTATATTTTTTATGTTGTTGAAAGTTAGATACATTTATATTGTGTACTATGAATTCTAGTATGTGTATCAACAACTCAAGTTCAACATTTGTTTTAGTTTTTTTGTTGTTGTTGTTGTTTTGAGTGTCTTTGGGTTTTAACAAGTGCTTGTAATGAAATATTACCCTCATACTCTTCCATAGTCAATCCTTATTCCCACTCCCAGGGAAACATCATTCTATATTTTATCTACCATAGGTTTAATTTTCCTGTTTGAGAATTTTATGAAATGAAATCATATTATGTAAGACATTTTGCATTAAGAATAATGTTTTCAGACTCATCTATGTTTTTATATGTGTCTATAGGTCCATTCTGTTATATTTAATGCATGGGTTTCTCAATTGTTCTATTGAAAGTCATGTGGCTGATAGTATCTTTTAGCTATTCTGAAAAAATCCCACCAAAACCTCTTTGTACAAATCTGTTTGTGGACCTATGGCTTTGTCATGTAGCTAATATACTTAAAACTAGAACTAAAACTGCTGAGTCATACTTTAAGGAACAATAGAAATCTAAGGAGCAATGGGTTGAAATTTCAGTTACTGAAAAGGTAAAATTTTAGTAGAGACCTAAAATATTTCCAACTGATTTTACTAATTTTCCAACTGTTCTGAGTGAGCTGTGTCATCAGTATAGACCAAACATGTTTGTGGTTTTTGCACAATGTCATAATTTATAGAGTAACAACAAATTCACAGGCTACATTATGAATATATAGTGTGCAATATATTCAGCAGTGCCAATTCACTGAATTCTTGTGGAACACCTGACAGTCATAAGCTGGATAATCACAAATTCTTTTAATCCATTTCAATCTTAATTTCCAATGTCTATAAAAACTCAAGTCACACTTCAGAAAGTGATATACATGGATCACAGAAAGATTAAGAAAGAGTTAAGACAGCCTCAGGGTTATAGGATGCTGTTTCAAGAGCAAAGACAGAGAGCAGATATGAGTGCAAGAGTCACTGTAACTGGTCAGATAAGGGTTTTAATGAACCAGTTCCACAAAGTTGTTAAGGTGAGAGTCCAAACAGCAGCTTCAAAGTGTCAGCTTAGAGTAGGCCATGCATCATCATCAAGGGCAAGAGAAACCATGCGAAGCTGAAGTCCAGGGACAGAAAATCAGAAGTTCATCACTGTGGCAATTTCCTGGGCAAGGAAAATCGATAGGATCAGGATGCCACTATGTTCAGTCATGGGGGACTTTTCCTTTTATAGGTCTTAGGTGAGTGGGTTACATCTGGTGAAGTGGATAAGCTCATGTGTCTGGCATCTGGAATATGATTTGGGTTATCCACATGTGTGGATGCTCCTGATTTAGTTTGATGAGTTGGCATGAATAAGTTATTTATCAATCTATGCCTTATGATTGTGCTGGGCAGAGGGTGGTTGTTTACTTGTACAAACATGGTATAGAGTCATTCTGCCTTAGCACTTGTACTCAAAATGGAGTAACTCATGGCAAACTACTACTTTATAAAATGGAGTAACTCAGGGTTAGGCACAGTCTGAAAATTGTTCAAGTCATCATGGAGTAACTCACCGCAGGGCACAGCCTACTTTCCATACAACTCTAATGAAAATGAAAAGGAACCATTTACCCCCCACCAAAAAAAAAAATCATTCCCATGGTAAGACAGTGGGCTGATTTATAGACAGCAGTCCTTCAGAGGTCAAGTATGCCTGAAATCTGATTGGAATAAGAGTATGAGCCACATAGGGATTTGAAGGTCATTGTAAGGATTTGACTTTTAGTGAGGTTATAAGCAATACTGTTGGAAAAAACCCTAATATCAGTTAAATTTAATAGTTTACTTGAGCAAGAGAAATATTCTCAAACCATGCAGCATTCTGGACTAATGATAACTCAGAATGACTCTATTTCCAATATGATAAGATGTATTTATTCTAAAAAACAGAAGAAAATGAAAAAAGAAAGGAATGAGTCCAGAGATGACCTGACTGGTAAAATTCAATGTTGTCCTTATTTGGGCATAATTTGGCAGCCTTTGTCCTGGGATTGGCTGAGGCTAAAGTTGCTGTGATTGGTTTGAGGTTCAGTTGCTTGGTAACCAAGGTATATTCTGTTAAGTTACTACTTGTCTACACATCAAGTGAGGTTGCAGTTTACTATATATGGAGGCCTCTCTGGGCTATATTTTTTTCACCCAAGTATGGCAACTGATATAGATCAAAGCTAATTCAATTTGACATTGTGATATTTGGTGAATTATATTTTAAGATGTTTATCCTGACTGTGGTGTTCAGAATAGTCTCTATGGGACAAAGATATCTTTGAGAAGACAAGTTAGGAGTCTATCACAATAGTCCTGGTGAGTCATAATGGGTATTTGGACAAGGTAAGTAATAGTTGAGGCTCTAAGGATTGATTTAATTTGGAAAAGATTTTTAGAATAGAGGTGAAAGTATTAGCTGATGAATCATCAGACACTTGGTATGAAGAAAAGATAAATCACAATTTACTTTAAATGTTTAAGTTTGAGTTATGCTAAGGGAAGAGTTTCCATTTCTGAGGTATGGAGAGGTTGAGGAGCAAAATTAGGTATATGACTAGACTAGCAAGGATTTAGCTTCAGACATAATGATTTGAGTAAGAATTGGATGTATGAAACAGGTTGATTAGCACTTCGGGCATGTGCATTTTGGAGCTATCAGTCAAAGATATCCTATAAAGCCACACAAAAAGGAATGTGAAGAGATAAGAATAAAAGAGAACAAAAGGGAAGAGGTCTAATGCATGTCATGGGGCATTCTAAAATTTAGTCATAATGGAAATTGTGGAAAAATGAGAAAAGACTACAAAGAACTAGGAAATGCTGAGTCATAAAGTTCAGAAATGTTTAACTTTAGTTGATAATTGCCAGTTTTCTGAAGTGGTTATACCAATTTACATTTCTGGTAGCCAGTGTTTGAGAATTATTTTTTAATAACTTTATTACAGCTACTATGGTTTATTTTTATTCACTTATTTTATGTGGTACTGAGGTTAGAACCCAGGCCCTTACACATGCTAGGCAAGTGCTCCACCAATGAGCCACAACGCAGCCCCAGAGAATTATATTTGCTCGAAATCCTCCCTGATCCTTCTTACCTTGTGACTCTCAATTTATTGTACACATATGTATACATTTGTTTGTAACTGTAAGATATAAAGTATATAATGTTTATCTGTCCAAAACACCTGATAAAATTGTTTCTATAGCAATATATGCTATGGCTAATGCTATTACAAGTCACAATCATCATTTATTTGGTGCTGATTAGGTGCCAGGCACCATTGTATGAGTTTTATATATATTTATTCATTGTCCCTGCAACTATATGGTAAGTACTACTATGATTATAGTACTCATGTGATATCTCAAGAACCACAGCCCAGAGATTGATTTAGATGCACAGTTGACACCTCTTCTCATTTGACTTCGTTAAATCAACATCTGAAGGATTAAAAACTTCCCTTTTGATTGGAAGATTAGAAGTTAGTGGTTTGAGGTTCATTTCAAAATGTCCCTTAGATGAAATAGAAACTATTTTAGGGTATTGCAGTTTCAAAATTACTGTAAAGTGTAACATTACCAAAAATAAAAGCTATTCTAACTTGATTTCTCACTGTGGCTGTTTTAGATTTTGAGCCATATAAGGGTGACCGAGTAGAAGTTGAATTTGCCATCCATCCAGACACAAAGAGCAGGAAAGCCCTCTCAGTGAAGCCTCTGAGACACAAACATGTGAACAAGGTAGTATGTTTGCATGTTGTACTTTTCCTTATGTTTCTGCTTATCCTTCTTTAGTGATAATTTCTGCTGCCCAGAATTCTATTAGATATGTGGGAAAACCTAAAATAAAATATACTCCTTGCCAAAAAGGAGCCTATTTTCTTATTGAAAAGGCTGCATGGGGCTGGAGATGTGGCTCAAGCGGTAGCGCGTTTGCCTGGCATGCGTGCGGCCCGGGTTCGATCCTCAGCACCACATACAAACAAAGATGCTGTGTCCACTGAAAACTAAAAAAAAAAAAAAAAACATAAAAACAAAAGAAAAGAAAAGGCTGCACTTGTGAAAGAAAATAGAGAATAATGTAGAACACACATATAATTATGATCTAAATGATGTTGTTTATTTGGGAGGTATTAAAATATTCCAAGTGCAACAAAAATAGAAATATTGTGTTGCTGGGAATTGCTGGAAAAGAGTGGAGTGGGGCTTGAGATCACCAATAAGAGCTGGTTATGATTTGGTTAATGGAAACTGAAAATTAGTTGATAAATTAAATTCATTTTGTGCAATAGTAAAATTTTAGGGAGGAACTTGGAATGTGGCTGAGAAAGTAGATAAAGTTATGGTCTGGGCTGGGATTGTGGCTCAGTGGTAGAGCACTTGCCTAGCATGCGTGAGGCACTGGGTTCGATTCTCAGCACCACACACCAATAAATGAATAAAATTTTAAAATTCGTCAAAAAAAAGTTATGGTCTGCTTACCACCACAAACCTTTTTTACTCAATCCTGTTTACTCTTTCAACTTTAACTATAGAGGTTAATGGCCATTGTGGGTAATATTTAGCTCAAGGTCTCCCAAGGTCTCTCATCAGAGACACAAGGACCATCCCCAGAGATTCCAATTTAATTGGCATGAGGTGGGACCTCGGCACTGGTGTGTTTTAAAAGCACCCCTGGCATTGCCAGTGTGCCAGGCAGGTTGGGAAATCAGTGCCAGG